GTTACACAGGTAGATACAGATACAGATAGATACGGGTGCACAGGTAGAAAGAGGCGCAGAAGTAGGCGCAGGTATCCAGGTAGACACAGGTGAACGGGTAGAGAGATGTACATTGGTAATGACAACTGCAGAGGCAGGGGCTACAGAGAAACAAATTAGATAGCGAAAGAACCCTACCCTTACGTATCGCCCATGAACAGCGGTTGGATTCTGCAGCCGCGTAGAACCTGTTGCCAGACTAATGCAAAACCACAGTAACCATGCTGCGTAGTTGTAGGTGTGCAATGCGTTATAACCTAATGAGTTCGGTGCGAAACTACAAGGATTCTACTCACCTTTCTAACAATAGTGGGATACCAGAAACGGCGATTTGAGAATGTATCTAATACTGGCTATTTGTTCTCGCTGTTTTTCTCGCTCTAGCGCTCTTTCTCTCTCGCACACACACACACACACACACACACACACACACACACACACACACATGCGCGCGCACGATTTAGCCGTAGAAAACGAGAGAAATAGAGACGCGGAGGGAGAGCCTTAGAGAAGGCAAACTCAACGCGAATCTCGAGAATAAGTTCATACCGGTGTGGCGAATCACATAATTACGTAACTGAAGGCACTGATGACGCACGTGCGCAGGTACCTGTCAGGTGCGTAGATGCGGCAGACGCTGCGCTTCACTGCTCATCATGATGACTCATCAACGCGCTGGTGAGATCTGTAAGCAGCAGGGCCACACGAGGCTACGGACGCGTTCCACGCCGACTGCTGTCTATAGGCCATCATTATATCTAGTTATCGCGACATTCATTCTTCTCCGTTATGACCCTGAATGCACATACGTACCATTTATGTTGTACTGTATGAGTTATGTTGCAGTATATAATGGCAGTATTGCGAGGAAATGCAATCAGTAGAACACGTGTATCACAGTAGCACTCATATACAGTACTGCAATAGAGTGCTCCATCTTGGAGTGCGCTCTCATCTTATTTTCATTGTGTAACTCTGCTGCTGCTTTTGTTGTTGTTGCTGCTGTTGTTATTGTTGTTGTTGTTGTTGCTGCTGCTGCTGTTGCTGTTTTGTTGTTGTTGCTGCTGTTGTTGTTGTTGTTGTTGTTGTTGCTGCTGCTGTTGTTCTTATTGTTGCCGACGCTACTGCTGTTGCTGTTAATGTTATTGCTGTCGTCGTCGTCCTCTTTGTTGTTGTTGTCGTCATCGTCGTCGTCGTCGTTGTTGTTGTTGTTGCTGTTGTTGCTTGTGGTGTTGTTGTTAGCACGCACAAGATGAACAGGCCGACATACCTCGCAACTAATTTAGCTCGTGGATATGCGAAACCACGTATGGCCTCGCACCCCAGGCGTCGCATCCTGTCTTGCAGCCAATATTGTGACATTACTAGTTATTACTCTGCAGCCTCTATATGGCTATCTATGTCATCTCTATATGTTTAGCTTAGTTGGCTTGTAATGAGATTTTCATGCCAGAAATGGTCGGCGATTTTTTCACAATGATTTCCTCCCAAATTTCACTCATTCATTCTACGTCGAATAAGCTATTCATGTTACATTAGTCGGTTTCTGTGCGATATATAAAGATCTTATCAAAACTATCAGTTAATGCCAACGCGCCATATATAGTACAGGCTTAGGTACGATAGCGAGAATATAATTATCACACCGTGTACGGAATCTACGGATACTACGTACATGCAACTGAATGACAAGTGGACGTGCATTTGCGCCGGTCCTTATTGTATGTGCGTGGCGTTGATTTGTGATTTGTGATTGTGATTTGCCGTGCGCATAACTCGATGAAGACGTCACATATAAGCAATCATGAAGACCACAGGCCTACGTGTCATCTCACGACGTCAGGCATGATTCTATTCTATAACTATAGTGGAGTGTGTGTGTGTCCATGTATTCAGGCCGCCTCTCAAGGAGAATACGGTTGATAACGCGTGTTTTGTTCGTAATCTCAGACGTTCTGCACGTCTGTGTAAGCGTATCTAGGCACGTAAGCCGGGGCTTTTAAGGATTTAACGAATTCCAAACCGAAAACGGTGACCCATATTTTTATTTGAATGCCAGTCAGCAGGTTAGTGAACCTGCATTTCTACGAGCCGGCAACAGCTGGGACCTATATATGAGAACTTTCTTTTGTATTAAGGGCATGACAATTACATATATATATATATATATATCCCCCTCTCCCTCTATACAAATATTTTCTTTCGTTTTCACGCACACACACAAATTATTTCGGTTATCATATAACCATCAACAATACCCCCACAGAGAAAGGAATCCCCTGCAGACATGCATGTTAGAATACACGTAAATCTGCACGACTACTAACTACGAACTAATATCTATGGAAACATGGGCTATCAGAGCATAGACCACTAACTATAGTCATCACGCAAATGAGTCGAGCTTCCAGCAATAAGATGAGTACATATGAAGAGCTGGCCAGAAATGGTTGACAGCCCAGAGTAACATACAAACGCGTGAGCTTATATTTTGTGCTCTTCATTCGCCACGTATAGTTTCTGCATTGATGTGGCTTTGCCGGCTGGATATCAGGAAACGTAAATGTAATAACGGATGACGATATTACTTTCGCATCCGGGTGCTGCAATAACAATTCAGAAACCCTGTCGTATATTGTGTGTCACACAGTTGCTATAGAGACGGTGCATATATACATCTCATTTCCCTCTGCACAACCCAACGTTCGATTACTGACAGTATATATATTATGGTTATATGTCTCACGTCAAACATAGCGTGTGCGAACACAATTATTTCCCACAATACACGGGACGAGACAATTTGGCAGACGATAATTACGGAGTTATTCTAGTTGTCCCGTATATATAACACTTGAGGCTAATAGCGAACATATAATAATACGGTGGGAGAAGATACACCGGTGCATTCTGCATATGTAACGGCAGCATTAACAGACAGAAAACTGTATTTGTACGTTTTTTGCATGTCGTGTGATCATCGAAGCCGCAAATGAGCAAAAAATAAGCAATGATGCAAAGAAAACCGAGAAATGAAGCGAAATACAGCTGAAATATGATTCGGGCAAAACTAAACATTACCACAGACAAATTTGTACAGTGACACAGAAACTTGTGGATAATATCCTACGGACAAAGCTTAGCAATGGCGCTGACAAATTAGAACCATGGCACAGAAATTTGGAAACAATACCAGAGACAAAACAAAGCGATCGTGCAGACAAATTTGAACTATGGCCCAGAAACGTGTCAGACAATAGAGTACCGAAGTGTGACGTCACGGTGGCATGACAACGAACCCATTAGTTCTACACAACCCACTGGCTCCATAACATTAACTGCGTGAAAATGTTGTGCGTACGTAAAACACGAGTGTGTGCGCTGCAGACAGCGGTAAAGCATCGGTATCAAGTCGATCTTACAATATTTAATTAATTAATTATTTTTTTGAATTGTTTTTTTTGAATTGTTTTTTTTCGTTGCTTTTGACTTCCATCCTTTGGAAATTTATAAAAACTGCAATAATGACTCGCAATAATGATGGTTACAATCGGGTACAAAACACGACACGCAGTTAATGTTATCAGAGCTAGCATATGATTGTGTAGAACCAGTGGGTTCGTTGTCATGCCACCGTGACGTCATCACTTCGTAGCTCTATAACGTTGACTAAATTGAGCAATGGCCCAGACAAATTTGAACTATGACCCGGAAAACTGTGGACAATAACAGAGACGAAATAAAACCAAACAGTTGCTGCGGATAAATTTGAACAAGGACAGACATAAAAAATTGTACAATGCTACAGACACGGCTGAGAAATGACGCAGACAAGTTCAAAAGAGGTCGCAAACAAAGTTGAACTACGAAGCAGACAGTAATGACGCAGAGAAAAAAATTACTGCGCATGAGCAGACACAACGCTATTTGAACAGCGAGGAATGGCGGCCACACGTCGTCAGACGTCAGAACGATCAAGATGGGGCTGTAATCTTGCGTGTATTAGCAAGATAGCTGCTCGGCTTCCGCTAGTAGCTCTTCGACGAAGTAAAATTCGCGAACTATTTCTTGCCCGCGAGGCTGAATACGATACGATCAGCACCGCGCGAGTTTTGACAATGACGTGTATTTGCCGGATGCTAGCAACGAGGAAATTCACGCGACGCAGATATTGCAAAACAGGCGAAACAGGTTTTAACGTGACGAGATCATTTATAACTTTTATTGTCGGTCCATGCGACTAGACGCCAACAATCCTCTCAAAGAGAGCTAGAATAGGATAATAACATCGTAGCATCGTAGTACAGATAGAAGAAAACGTCGTCGGCAGACGACCTCGAACAAATATCATTCGTAAACAACATCAACATTAAGCGCCCAGCGACGCTTCACGCATGCGCGCGCGCCCAGCCGCGTCCGTTCACGATAGTTCAGCTATACCTCATGGGTTTAGCAGGGGCAAAGGAGCGCGCGCGCACACCGGACATGTGATAACAGCAATTAGCATTGCCGCTAGCGATTCCGCTGAGGTATGATGATGATGATAGAGGGCGTAGCGATCGTATGCCGCGATGATTCGATGCGAGTTTCCGCTGCTTCCACTACTAGCGCGCATGAGTGACCTTCAAGCAGCGAGTACATGCCGTCCAGAGGAAACGATGGGCAGACCCGCATAGCTCTGAAGCAACGTAGCTGTCGCTCTACCGCGTAGGTGGGGATGTGTGTGTGTGTGTGTGTGTGTGTGTGTGTGTGTGTGTGTGTGTGTGTGTGTGTGTGTGTGTGTGTGTGTGTGGTGTGGTGTGTGTGTGTGTGTGTG